ATACCCGCACCACCCCCCCCCCACGCCCCCACCCACAGCCACACCCACAGCCACAGCCACACCCACACCCACACCCACACCCACACCCACACCCATACCCACACCCACACTCACCCACACCCACACCCCAAAATTACAGAAAAAAATATAAAAGAGAGGAATTTTTCAAAATAAGATGTAATGATCGAGTTTGCTCAAGAAGATCTACCCGAATCTGAATCTGATGACAAGGAATATGAAGATGAAATTGCATCGAATCATATATTTCAGACTTTTTGATAAATTTTGTCATGACCTACCTTCAGATTTTTTCAAAATCTCAAAGGTTTTTAATAGGCTGACTAGGTGAATTTTTTTATCAAAAAATCTGAAAAAATGTCAATTTTCTATACAAGATCGGCTGACGAGATGCAGCAAATTGCCTATAACTCATGATTAGCTAAAGTTAACAATGAAGAACTTGTCGAGTTTATAAATCTTTAGTTAGCACTTCTAATGCACTCTAGAAAGTTTATATTCCCAAACCTTTCTGTTACACTTTTTTTTAAAACCTTGATATAAAATCCTCACAAAATTCATCAGAAAAATCTAAAATATATGTGGGTGTGGGTGTGGGTGCACAGTAAAAGGAGATCATACCCACACCCACTCCACACCCACACTGTACAAAGGTTAAGTACGGTACGAGCTTTTGTATAAACAATTGATGTTTTTGTCTTGTAGTGACTATTTATTTATTTTAAAACTTATCTTAAAAAATGACAGTCCATATATAAGAGCAGAAGGCGAGCCTTTGGGCCCTTTTTCAGTTTATAATTTTATAGGTTTCTGTATTTGTTTCTTTTTAGGAACGATAAGCCTAATAAAACCATCATCACGTTCCGACTTTATTTCGTTAATATCAATTTCACACTCGAATGGAATAGTTAATTTAAAAGAACCAATTAGAATATCTGATTGACGAACAATAGGATGTGCCATTAATTGATTCAAATCAGAGCGATTACCGTCAATAACAATAGACTTCTCCAATACGTTTGCTTTTAATTCATCTTGTTTAAATCCAGTTAATTCAATAATTAAGTAATATTTTGTATCATCTTCGTATAAATTGTAACGAGGTTGCCATTGTCCACTTTCATTCCTAATAAAATATCCAGCATCATCATAAACAATTTTCTCCGATAACTCTAATAGACATGGTTCTTCCAGCAGATTTTGGCGATGTCTTCGATCAGTAAGCACAATATATGGTTGATTGTCATGTTGTACAATTTGTAGAACTGGTTTAGTAGCATTATCTCCAGCATAATTATTAATCTTAAACAACTTTGGAAGTTTATTATTGATAAAACTAATTATGTCTCTGATAATATCAAGACTACGCTTGCTGTCTGAATTTTGTAAAAGATTCATAATGCCATCAAGAGACTGCCTATTCCATATTTCGGCTGCGTTAGAATGTTTTCTTGCCAAAACATAATGACGCACCTCAATTCCGTTCTGCTGTTTTGAAGTAAAATATTTAATAGGCCTACTGGTACCATTCATTGTCAATTGTATTTCCTGTGCAACCGCGTTAAAAATTTCTTCGATTTCATGCTGAATGATTTTATTAATATCTTCAATTGTTTCAATGTCAAGTAAATTATGAACAATAATGATGTTTTTTTTATTTAGAGTACTTTGACTATCTCGACAATATTTCAATATTTGTCTAATATAGGTTTGATCTGTAGCACGTAAGCGATTAACGACAATGATGAGAAAAGTAGATAAATGAAGGACTACCTCTCGTAGAAGGGCTTCAGTTGCCCTTTTATATTCAATTTCATCATTGTTGACTGGTGTATCTGTGCCGGCAGTATCAAGAAAAACAATGTTCGTATAATTTTCTCTTCCTGCTGTAATAGATAAACCTTCTGTATGGACTAGATTTCCATCAGGCAGTTCAATATTACAAAGATTTTTGAGTAAAAATGATTTACCACGATTATATGCTCCAAGAACAGTAACTATCACACCTTCCCCCAATTCATCTGGTGTTTTTTCTGATGCGTTATTTTTCGGTATCATTTTGTTTCGTATAATTTTTTTTGTATGTTCTCCAACTAAAATTTCCCATCCTTGGGAACTTAAATCTGATAAATTATTAATACGAATAACAACATCATACAGTGAAGAAGTTGATTTGTATTTTCTTGATGCTGTATTAGAGTGAACATCGTCATCATAAAGTTTAAGACCTCCAAGAATTGTAGAAATCGCTATGCCATCACTGTAAGTACTATGTGATAGATTGTTTGCATCGTTGTTATGAGATAAATTTTTTTTTGGTGATGTAAACAATTTCTTGATGAAGTTTGTGTTCATTTGGCAGCCGACGTATTCTATTTGATCATAAATATTATATATATATATAGGATATGAATGCGAATGTGCGCATTGAACTGGTCTTTACCATTGTAGCAGTGTTCAGACTTACAAAAAATGAAAATTACGGAAATTTTGGAAGTGATACCTCTGAAATCTCCGTTATTTCGAAAAATTTGTTAATTTTTGAAATTTCAGAAATTTCGGAAATTTTCGAAACTTTTTTAACCTTCCCAATTATATAAAATTTGTCTCTATGAGTTTGCGTGTTCTTGGAAATTTCCGTAATTTCTTTTTTCGGAAATTGGCACATACTTCTATACAATGACACATTATTACGACTTGACGATGTCAAATTCCACTATCCAGGGATAGGACCAGTATCGATTGTAACGCATCCAGTTGGATGAATGGTTTCTTTATCTTTTTGCCCTTATTTCGTGCTTCATATTGAACTTTGTCCCTATTTTATTATCATTTCTTTTCATACTCTTTTCTTCTCTCCGATGCGTGAGTATATAAGTATATATTTCGCATGGAAGCGCCGCGATTCTTGATAAGAAGAAATATAATAAAGTGTAGTTCCATCAGCGCCCACATCTCTATCAAAAATCGTCATACTGATAAGCAGCACATGTGCATTTCAGATTATCAGGTGCACTGATAGTCGGCTGTTCGACCGGTCAGTCACCGGTAGACCGGCTACCTTGGTCCGATCTGACTTATTTGATCCGGTACCGGCCGATGAAAATCCGGATCGGTCCCATCTCTAATTCAGACTCTTCAAAACTATCTCTCATATGCTTCGAAAATGACGTAAGTCTCTCTCACAAGACACTGTACAGCCTACGACGAGCTGTCCATTCCCACCTTTACTGACTTGTCATTTCACGCTATTTTACACTGAAAGATTCATGGTGGCGTGTTGCGAAGACTGTCTCATAAAATTGGGTACCGAATACTAATGTTAAAATTATTGCTCTGTTGTATAAACTAAACATACTGCTAAAAATGAGATTTCGCAACAGTGTTGCGTTTATTCAACTCAAGATGCAATATTTTTGATGAGAAAGTACCATATCAGAACCATTGTGAAAAATTACTTATGGTATACTAGTTTCTTTATTGGTATTCCGTAAGCGGCTCATTGAACTTTTAAAATAAGCTCTTTTCGTAAGGCTGTTATAGTAGTATTGATCAAGTATTTCTTTTGAAAATAACTCCGTAGGAAGGAAAGGAAACAAGTTTATTCTTTCCCCAAAAGAAAGATCATACATGATAGTATGCACAACGTTTGAGAGTGCGATTCGGAGCCTGACATTTGGATGCACCGGTAGTTTCAAAGTAGAACGAAACACATTGCATCGGAAATACTGCAACTAATGCTTAGTGTGTACATTTCACTGACTCACAGAAACAATTTCTCGAATAACAAAATACATTTTCTTACACTTTTAAGTTTGCTTTACAACCTGACACAAATGTTTCTTTCGAATTCTAAAATAAATACTTACGTCTAAAGCGTTGTGTTATGTAAATAAGCCGATATATGGATAACTAGGGATACTCACAGTGAAAATTAATGCTGGAATGTATTGAATTTGTTTTAGTGCATATAGGTAGCATGTCAGCTTGTGTATTTATATTCAATCAATTTACTTGGAAAAAACCAAGTAATGTCTATTTACGAGAATTAATGACCCGTGACATTTCATGCATATAGTAATGAGATGTACATAGCTAAAGATCTTCCGCGCGTTTTTTTCTCGCCGCGCAGTGTTATGCAGTTTTTTTGTTTCATTCCGCTCTCTGCACACTATAAGAAAAAAACTAGCCATTTATTAACGTGATGAAGAGAGCAACCAATTCGAGCAATGCCGCCGGCAATTCGCAAAGAGACTCTCTCAAAGACTCTTATACGTTTTCTGAACACAATTTGATAAGCTCTATGAAATGGCATATTCAGATTTTTGATAGGTCAAATCATGTGTCAGGAAATCCCAATATATCGATATTTATCTTTAGAATCAATCATTATTGGGATTATCCTCAAGTGGAGCAGCCTCTATCACATTGTATCGAACTGAAATAATTTCAATTGGATTCTAGCGTGAGTTTGCCGAGTTCCATGGAAATCTCGATAAGAATCTGAGGATGTGCATGTGAGTACAGGTGTGGGATGTGATTGTGATTGAAGAGAAGACACAAACCAACACCCACATCATCCACATCACCCACATCCAGCACTCAAATCACCCACACCCAACACCCACATCACCCACACCCACACTAACATTTACAGCCAGACGCACATTCACATCCACACTCATACCGGTACCGCTACTTTCTATTTGACGTCGCTGTTAAAGCTGACCCTCTATCAATGTTGCCAAAGGGGGAAGGAGCAACACTTCGTATACTTCCGAAGTATTTTGAAGTTGACGGAAGTACGAGGTGGTACCGCCGAAGCATGAGGAAGTAGGTGTGGGTGTGGGTGAGTGTGGGTGGGTGTGTATGGGTGTGGGTGTGGGTGCGGGTGTGGGTGTGCGTGTGGTGTAGGTATGGGTGTGGGTGTGGTGTGAGTGCGGGTGTGGGTGTGGGTGTGGGTGGGTGTGACTGTGGCTGTGGATTTTATTAAAGAGAAGAATAACACCGACACCCACACACCCACACCCACACACCCACACCCACACACCCACACCCACACCCACACGCCCACACATCCACACCCTCACCCACACGCCCACACTCACACTCACACGCCTACGCCCACACATCCACACCCACACACCCACACCCCTTATACACAGGAGAAACGATTGTATAAAAATGAAAAAAACTTTACAGAGTTGCTTGTTGAACATATACAAGAATATAAGCATTTTTTGTTACAATATCATTTTCATTGTGAATTTCTCGAATTGTGTCGTCATTAAACGAATACCATTTTTTATTTCGATCATTTCTTGCATACGTAAAATAATGTCCACTAACAAGACTACCTGTATGATTACATACAGCTACGAGATGGTACAATGTAAGTATATTCGTTTTTTGATCATCCTTCTGAATGATATATGGACGAAGATCAGGATCTTGAAGTGGAAAGTCGATATATGTATCAATCTTTGTGCTAGAAGAAGGATCATAAGTAAAGCGTTTCAACTGTATAACTAGTACGGGAGGTAATGGTAGAACGAAATTCGCCTTTTGCTTAGCTGGTTTTAGATCACGACATGTTGAGCAATAGTAATCGCCACTCAAGGACTCTTCACGGAAAAAATCAGCCAATAGGGTATTCAATGATGGATTGACGGATGCTTAGTTAATACTGTATCGATTCATATATTTTTCAACCCATTCAGGGTCCATTTCGAGAGTAATTTGGTCAAAGAATCGGCACCGACTATTGTGTTTATGCGTCTCTATCTCAAAATTCCAAGTGCTACCACTATTAGTTATCCAATAAAGATGAAATGCAGATGTCGGTGCACCAGTCACTGAACAGAGATGTTTTTGAATATAATTGATCTGTTCGGATAGATCAGAATAGCAACAATCATAGGATGGACGAACAAGAAAGATAGGTGGTCGAAATGGTCTATGTGTTTCATGATTAAGAAATCTTAATTCAACATATCTTTGCTCAATAGTGTTTTCAGGATGTTCGATAAAACTTAGTTGATGCTTGATTGTATCACTCAATAATGTGTAAGATGAATATTTTTCCATAATCATATTATCTACTATTCTAAAAGCTTGAATTCGAGTACCTGATAGTTTTGTTTCATGTTGTTTAATGAACGATTCAATCAGTGTGTTGATTGTTTTTCCACATGTATGAACTGAAACTAATTCTTGTTCACCATTGCTTCTAAGATAGAGAATATCATACTGATCATTATCATTTTCAACAGGTAGTGGAAGAAAACTAATTAATTCTTCATTAGTGTCAATAGAATGACATCCTCCTAAACATTTAACATTTGATTGAATTCGACCATAAAATAAATCAGTAATTAATGTTTTTTCGTTTGTTAATTTTTGATGAATTATATGTAGAAAATGATTCATAAATTCTTGTGCATCTTGCTGTCGATATTTTTGAAAACGTGGTAAATTTTCAGAAATATTCAGTAATAAAAATGACGGCTCAGTAGTAACATCTTCACCTAACCACATAGTTTTAATCAATGCTGAATATGCACCAATTATTGGTGCGTTAATTTCGTTACCAAACGACAAGATTTTTTCAGTCAATTTAGGGATATTACTTAAACATTGAAGAGCACTATTCATGAAACATGTATTACCTCAATTTGTTAGACCACAGAGACCAGGAAATGGATCATCTTCTGTTTCAAAACTTATTATAGAATATTGATCAAAGTCCATCATAGCTAAAGTCAAGTCGTCTAGATCAGTTTCGAATTTTGTCCAACCGTTTTCTGTCCACAAGTGTAAATACATAGTTCTTTGACTTACGACTCGTTTTCTTGCTTCTTCTTTTAATTCACCAATAGTCATCGACGAATTCATACTAAGATATTCGAAACTTGTTCTCTTCATTGGTCGTTTACAAAGTTTCAAAATCAGATCTATATTTTTAATTTTTGATGTATCTTGTATATTTTTATCTGTTGCTTCAAGTCTTTCGATGTTTATAATAGTGTTAGAAGAAAGATTTAGATCAGTGATTGTTATATTACTATCTACATCAGGAATAGACATCCACATATCGTCATTTTGATTAAAAATTGCTAGAGAAAACTCTGTAGACTTCATATTTAATTTAAGCTGTCTACAAATTTCCTCTTTCAATTGTAATAATGTATTGTCTTCATTCATACGTAAGTGTATCACACTAGTTCGGTTTCGATATAGACTGCATACTCGAAAGGAAACACTTTTTGGAGTTGTGAACAGTTTTGGTACTGTGGATAACGATTCCCGTTCTTCATATGAGTCTTTCTTATCTGCAAGTAATGATATGGAAGTAGAATAATGATTATTGTATCGTTTTGAATAGTCCATTCTAGAAAACAATGATGAAATTCATTTGTGAGAGACTTAATTTTGACATACATGTAATTCTTCTACAAAATAATCGTTTAGTTAAAAATCTGAAATCAAAAGAAAATAAATCAAGAAATTTATGTTTTTTTTTTAAATGTAAATTAATTTTGTTCTTTTTTTAAATACATCAAAACATAAGCATATGGATTTACAAGACAATCAGTATCATGAATAAGTTCAATATTTGAATCATTAAAACGATACCATGGACCTGAACCATTTAAACGAGCTAATGTTGTGTAGTGTCCTCCTTTTAAATGGCCAACATGCATAGAAACGGCAACAAGATCATACAATGAATTATCAGAACCATCGACATTCCAATTAACAATGTGATTTTTAACTAAAGTATTGGGTGTATTGTTTGTCTCATGAATAGTATAT